ATCCCTCTGCAAAGCCTTCCTACCCTCAGTTTGGTATCATCAGCAATGAAATACAGAAAAAAAGCTGTTTAAGAAAAACTGCCTTTAAAGTAAAACTACAAATAACTGATTTATTACTGCTAACTCAGGAAAATTCCGTATCATATACAGTTCTTACTATTAATCTATACTTCAGTTATTTACAGAGCAAGCAAAGCCAGAAGTCATCAAAATAATCAGAATTGACAATACTTACGTTTCAGTGGCTGGATCATAAACTTCACAGGAATTTAGGACTCTTCCAGAAACATTGTTTCCCAAGCTTCCTCCACATACATAAATGAGACCATTCGCCTCTACCATTCCATGGCTGCATCGCTGAGTCAGCATGCTGGGCTTTGTGTGCCAGCTTTCTGTTCTTGTGTCATAGCATTCAAATAAATACAGTGCAGAATTTCCTTAAAAAAATAGAAACCCACCAAATGGCATTAATTTTTATGGTTGTCTTTCACAAGAAGAGTCTAATAGTAATTATCAAACTGATGCTTTATTTGTTAGTTGAAAAGGGAAGGGCTCTTTCCCACCTCCAAAAGCAGAACTAACCAACTTGAAATTTGGGACTATTCAGAAAGCACATACTTGTAATTCTTTTGACTCTTTTGTTCCCAAAATAGGCCAGTAAGTTCACATAAAATTGCTATTTGTGTTTGAAAACAAAAACAAATGATGGGGATATTATTTTTTTCTTTGGGGGGGGGGGCAAAGGGGGATAAACACTGACAGATGTATGTAAGTTACTGATCATACTGTCATCATCTCATGCTGATCTCACTACTTGGAAATATATTGAACTTTCAGATGTGAAGATGAAACCAGCTTTGTAAACCTAGTACAGATTCACACGAGTGAGTTGCCCAATTCCCAGAATACTGGTTGCCTTTGGAATTAGATAGCTTGATTATGTTATAACATACTCCTGAATTATTAACAATCAGAAGACAGCTACCCCTCACCATTTTACTTTCTTCCTGTGGACTGGCAGATAATTATTTTTTGGAAGTGCAAGGTCTGTGTTCTCCTCCCTCCAGGGCCAATAAAACTATTAGTAAAATCAAAAGCAATTTTAAAAATGAACCTAGATGGGAGCTTAAAGAGTTGTGCTCAGGTAACTAGGCTTCTCTGCTTTGTCTATGGTTCAGGTAGATACAACTTTCTCAGAAAAGAACCAGGATCCTTCTCTGCTTTGTTTCAGTATTCACCTAGAACAGTTAAAGGTGCCTTCTCTTGTGCCTCTTTTTCTTTGTCTTTCTCCTTTTAAAAATTAAGTGTCAGAATAGTAGCACTCACTATAAGCTGGAGATCTGAACCCTCAAAATAGTGCTACGTTTCCAGACCCAAAATACAGGAGAAGACTGCTATATAAGCAGCATTTGTTTTCTCCTATCATGTAGTTCTCAATGTCACGAAGAACTGCACAGAGTGGGAATTATTTTTTCCTTGATGTAAATATATATCCTTATTGCTTTGAAGTTGTAGAAGTTCTCATCCATGGGACATACAGAACTGTCTCTATTAATTTTTTTAAAAAAGGGAAAAGCTTGCATTTTCAGTATACCATCAGTATAAGGTTAAATATTTTTCTTGCACCTAAGTATAGTGGAAGAATTTAGTATTTTCAGCTTTCTAACTCCACTAGCTATTGCAAACAAAACAGTACTCCCATCAATTCAAAAACTGTTTTCTGGAGTGGACTGGCACAGTCATTTGTTTTCCAAACTCTTCAATCAAAGCAAAAAGCATGCAATTTTTAGATTTCTCTACAGCTAACACACTGCAGCTTTTTCTCTGATTAATGGTTTCACATAATTGCCTGCTCCAAATTAGAAAATACTAGATTCAAGATAGACAGACTTTTTCAAACAAGCAGTGTTCACTGGATCCCAAAGAAAAAACAAGTACAGGCAAAATAAACTTGGTTATTAATTTTTAGCTTTTACTATTCTGTCTTGAATAATACTCATGGAAAGCAAAGTAAAACATTACAGTAAAGTGAGGGCAGATTTAATAGAAAACTCCTAAATTAAAATTTCCATAACAGTACAGTTTTATTAACTAATGACAATATATTAGAAAATAAACTGTACAGTCAAAGTTTGTATCATAGCCCCTCATGAGTGGGGAAACTGGGAAGACTTATGAGATTTTTGTAGTATCCCAAGTTTCCCAACGCAGCCTTAGTTAAGCCTATTTCCAGTAATGGGAAAGGTGCTATTTCACATTTTCCACACTAGGTGACAGCCAGGAACTGTTTAATCCACTGCTACATTAGACTTCCTCAAGTATTTTAGAAGTCAGATAACATTACCCAAGTGTCACAACTTCCCATTAAGTGACTTATCAATGTTAAGCACCGATTATGACCTTTTTTTGCCCGCTCTGCTCACCTCGCTCTGAAGCAAGGCAGAACTCAAGAGGCTCTACTAAAAAATTTCTCCCTGGCTTTATGGTTTGGCTTGGGTTTTGCATTTTTCCCCCCCCCCCCCCCAATTGGGAATATTTTAATGGATATAGCATACCTACATTCCAACTTTTGTTTTGTTGATGATGGACCAGATTTAGACAAAATAAATTTTAAAATGTTGCGGTAACATCATAGTGTAAGTCATCCACTATATTTTTGTGGGAGGAAAAAAACCCCAATGGTCTTATTACTTATCATTGCAAAAAAAGTAACATCTAAAAAAAGCAGTGTTTCTCCATTTACTGAAGCAACCCAACAGAATAACAAACTAACATAAGATAACTTCTTTTTTTCAGAAAAATTGGACAAATTCCTTTACAGGGCCAGGTATGATTTCACCGCCAAAAGCAGTAGTTTCAAAAGCTTTTCCCCCCACCTTCTTTTTCCTTAAGAAAACCTCATTAGGCCCAATATACATTGTCTGCAAGGAATGCCATTGTCAAAATGCAGCTATTCTGGCCATACAGCAGAGAAAAATTTTAAACCACACTAAGTTCCGTGGATTTATAACAGCAGAATAGGACTGCCAAAAATATATTTGCTTGTCCCTAGTTAACTCTTACAAGTTGCAGTGTACTTTAAGTTCTAGTTAATGTAAATATAAATCATTTCAGTGAAACCATTTTAAAAACACAACAGAAATAGGTTGTTGGATTGTGGGGAGGATAAAATCCTAAATATTGGAAAATAAACTCATTAGGCTAACATGACAACGTGCAATTTCTTTTCAAGAGTCATGCAAAAACCAGAAAAATTTCCAGGTATCTTTCTTTGTTCTATCTTTTTGGTTTGTTTTAAAGATTTTTAGTGTCTTACCCACTTCTGAACCACCAGATGTATAAATTTTGCCCTCAGCAGCACAGGCTGCAAGGCTATCTCGAGGTGTTGGAGGTCCTAGCTTGGAATACCAGCTATCCTTCACCACATTGTAGCAGTCCATTCGCTTTATAGGGAAGAGCTGGGAACCACCCAAAATATAAACTACGTTGTCCCAGAAGACACAAGCTGCATCCCTGCGCTTTTCAAAGGGACATCGGATGTCTGTCCAGCTGTAATCCTGCATTACAAAGAACAGGTAATGTCTAATAGATTATAACACTTACCTGCACAGCGAGTGTTTTTCAAACAGATCTTTTCATAGAGATTTAGACAGGGTCAGTTTTAAAGTTCCTTTTCAAAACAAACATGAATACTGTTTATTGAAGAATACTCCTCAGGCGTACTCTTGAAAAATTCTCTTAGACACAGACATAGTTAGCTGCAATGAACCATGACATTAAGAATTTCTATTTCTGCATTCCCTGTGTGCACCCAGTACAGCTTCCCTGAAAAACAATTTTTTTTTCCCCAGCAGAATTGACCTCCTGCTGCTATCATGTCAGAAACAATGCATGTGATCAAAAAAGTAGTACTGCATTTTCTTTTATAGGAATGGAAAAAAGACAGCTTACATATAGTAACAGATTCTTTCTAAAAAAAAATAAAATACAGAATGTATCAAACAAAGGCAATGGAAGAAGAAGGTAATATCCAAATTGACAAGCAACTCATTTAAAAAGCTCTGATACATACTTTATTACCATGACAACTAGAAGCTTATTTACAGAATTTACAAAACACAAATGATCTATAGCTATCCACAGTTGATAGCATGAGAAAGAGTAATGTGCCATCACAAATACTGGCAGTCATGTTGCCTAGAAACTGATTTTGCATGAATTGGCAAAACCAGTGAGTATCAAATATGGACAGCAACGCTACCCAAAGCCTTAAGAACACCAAACTCAGCAGCTGATGGCAGACCAGGATAGCATACAGTACAAGAAACACTTCTTGAGTAATAGCATTGCACATATTCCATGAGCATAGCTTGTATCCTATACTGAACAGGAAAGTACGGGACCTTAACTGTTATCTGTGCCACCTCAGGATGGTCTAGCTCAACCTGCTGAATGACCTTCATCGTAATGGTTCATACAAGACGTTACATCATTACATTTTCTTAGCAAGGACATACTTCAAACACCTTGGTCAATGAAGAAGAACAGCGACTCCTACATGGGGGTTCAAAGAAAGAGAGGCAGACCATGTTATAGTCCAAAACATCTTACAATCTTTTCTTGTAGCATCCCCCATATCAAGAAGAGCTGGCAGGTGCATGTGGCCCTTTATGGTGAGAAACAGGTCCTGGGGCATCCTAGAAAGGAAAGCCATACTACAGCATGGCAAAATAAATAGCTGCATAAATCTTAAGAAAATGTCTTAGTGCATTGTGCAAGATCAACAAATTTTCTAGCTCAAACTTCTGGCACTTTTACAAAAAATACTCTTTTCCTTTACTGTTATAAAGGGCTGTGATCTGACCCACTTTTATGGCTTCACTTCATAGCTACCATTTCATCCACACCTTTATCAAATGAAAAGCCACAGCGTGAGCACACTCAGCAGTATCCTCCTCTTTCTGTGGGAGGCAATTTAGGTCATTCCCCTGTAATGCTCTTCAGTTTTAGTCTGCACCACATAAAATTTATTTCAATTTATGCATTTTACACATTTAAGAGTTATACAGAAGAGTTGTTTCATGCCACAGTCAAGATCCACACACCCCTGGGCAGTGGCAAGCCTCATTTTTGGGGAGCTGTAAAGAAAGACCGAGATAAGTACATGGTGACACTTTCCTGGCTGCTCTCCATTTTCAACAAATTGTGGTGCAGAACTCCAAAGGCAGAAGCTGTATATTTGTATTTAATAGTTTTTGAAAGGCTTTTCTCTTTCATTAATTCATTTAATCACTTATTAAAACTATCTGAACTCCTAGTATCCACACAGCCATGTGACAGGAATGGCACGTGTCATTATGGGCCATGTGAAAAAGTATCTCCTTTTGTTTAAGGCTTTTCCCTCATTTTCAGTTGATACCTCCTCTTCCAAGTTTGTCAGGGAAAACAGCAGACACACCTAACATGGACAGCTTTCCCACTAACAGCTTATTGACTACAGCTCTATCTCCTCATAAAAAGGTATGCTGACATACCTTGTAGAGACAGCAATTTCAAAAGAATAAGCATATTGCTGCCTCAAAATCCCATAAAATAACGCATAAATTTTTATCAAGAAGTCATAAAGCAAAACAAAAAATATTTTATTCCAAAGTTGGGGGGGGGGGAAAGGTTAACAATATTCTGTTGAAAATTTAACAAGAAAATGCTTCCCACCACTGTTAATAGGACATCTAGGATTTCTAGCAGTATTCTGAAAACAAACATCTCTACTCAAATAGCACCAGACTGCTCCAGAAGTTTGATGCTCATCTGCATCTGTACTGTTGCATTATTTTGCTCTCTTGAGGAAGTACATGCATCAATAGAAATCTCAGTTACAGTGCAAAGACAACAAATATAGACTTAAAGTAATACTACTAACAGTCTCAACAAATAACACAAAGTATCCAATCCATTCTTATTTAAAGAACCCTTTTTGACAACAAGGATGGGAAGATCAAGAGGTCTAATTTTGTGTGCAAAGGAATCAGTGAAAATTAAATTTTTTTGCACTAGTTTTATAATGATAGAATTATTAAAGTTTATATCACAACTGAGAAAATATTTTCAGGCGAAACATAACCTTTGTTTTGAACTCTTTCTTTAGCTGACATAAAAATTTAATTAAATTAATAAATTTAATTAAAATCAAAACTGGAGGGCTAGGTCACTGTTCAATCAGTTCAACATACAACAAAATTCCAGTTCTTTCCCAAGGTCCTAACCTTGCAGAAGTACATGCACAACCTTAATTCTCTGCTGTGTGACACGCTCATCTTTTGATGAGGCTAATTAAAGTGAGTTAAGCATGACAGTCTTTGCAGCACTGGAGCTCTACATCCCACATTATTTTGCATGCACATGATGCTTATCCAAGAGAGGTTCTGGATCCTTGATTTATTGCATTTAAGAAGCTACTGTCACAGTTAAAGATCAAACTCAGATACTCAAGCAAAACATCAAGCAAAGGACCTTTAAATAGGTTAGAGTTGGAAATGAAGTAAGCAAAAAGCTATCCACAAGACATAACAGGCTAGCTAAGAATATACAAGAAAGCATATAAGCACTAGGAAAACATTTAAGGAAGACATGCTTGTTAGAATCAAGATCTCCCATTATCCACATTTGCCTTCTCCTACCCTGACCCCCTCCTCTCCCCCCGTTAATCCACATGCAAGGCCATAAAGCTTGATCAAGAGGCAGTTCTGCAAAATTTCTTCCATACTCAGTTCTTTTTTGGTGTTATGCTTGGACAAATAGTCTATGAAAAAATTAGCTATTTTATCCTATGCTTTATGTAAACTTATACAGATATGACTTTTTGTCCACAAAACAGATTTTTTTGTAATATTATAGTTCAGGTCTGACTGAACATCACCTAACTAGATACATAATTTTCCTTTTAGTTGTAAGCCTTTGGCTGTTGCTCCCACTCAGCATGCACCGAGATTATTATTTTTCAAACAAGATGAAGTTTAAAAAAAAAACCAAACATGGTGACTACTTGGGGTAGGGGGGAGAGGTGTATATTAGTTTATAAAGAATGATGAAGCAACCACCCCCATCTTTTGGGTTCTGACCACCACTGACATTAGACACCTATGGAATTTAACTTATCAGTTAGGTTGGTAAAGAGACCACGTGCACACTCTGCTGATAACACCATTGACAATTAATGACTAGGACAATAATCTCAAAAGTAGTTTCCATCCTGCTAAAATCTAGCTTTGTTCCAATGTAAGTAACTGGAGATAACGAGAAAACTTCTATCTGATTTCCTTCTAATAAAAGAAAGGTCGGAGCATATTGGGTGAATTACAACTTGTTAAAATGCCAAAACCAAGTAACTGCTTGAGAAGGATCAAAAGCTTCCCCAACACAGACCTTGGAAAAGAAAGAATTATCTGCTGTGTTCCCTTCACCTCCTTGCCTCCAGTTGGAATACTGCCTTTTTACTTGAGTAAGAAGGAAGAAGGTGGTTATTATTTAGGAATTTGGAATTCCCAATAAAAATACATATTAAGTGTCTCTCAAACTAAGCTGGTAGGTTTTTCTCCAAACTTGAGTCGTACTCAAAGAAGGTAGCTTCAATTTTATCTTACATGAGGGAAAGTGAATCATGAGTTCAAAACACATCCCAAGGGCTCTTTCATTCTGAATTAGATTTGACAGGGCTCACATTGGCTATAAAATTCACACAGATAACACACAAAACTGTTTGAAATTATAGCAAACATTTAATATACTGAGTTAGAACAACCAGAATTTCTGCAACAAAACATTACATTTATGTGATCTCATAGCTTAGAGAGCCCTGATGTTTATGTAGCAACTTTTTTCTGTATTAATACACGTGCTTGCCTGGTAAAACAGAGTATGGATACTCCTTTTGCATGCAGCTGATGTTTCTAGACCATCTAGCCTGCATAGTTGAAATATACACCATTCCTGTGGCTTGATTTTATTCAGGAAACATGGAAACAAATTTCAGGCAAAGCTTGCTTGCTCTAAATTGGCCATCTCTTAAGTTTTTTGTTGTAGAAACTCAGTCTTTTCCACTTACAGAACACTCGGCTCACAATTCTTCTCCTTATATACTCTTTAAGAACAAACAAAATGGTGAACAACTGGGATTTAGAAATGGTTGCATATTTATAATAAATGCACTGAAAAACCACCTTGCACCCTAAAACTGTGTTTTGTGCTAACATACGAGCCAATAACTTAACTTGTGCTAAAAAATAAATTGCTTTGAGTTATTCTCTGAACACATACGTGCATGCACATGCATACAGACTTTCATATATTCCTAACTGATTGCTTGATGCTTCAGTGACCTTTTATTTATTTACAGCTGTGGGATGCACACACCAATCCTCAACTTAGATGGATTTATCAGAACTCCATATCTAATATTGCTAATAAACAAACATAATTAATTCTACTCAAAATGAAGTATTACATCTAGGTACACAAATTTGAAAATACCTAATTAACCACACACTTCCAACTGTATACCCAAGAGGCAGGGAATACATCCTTCCTAATACTGTTTTGTAGATCATTACGCCTTAGTTAATATCATCAGCAAATAAAACACGCACGATTACAAACAGTGAATCTTAATGCATTCTGAGGTAACGATTACCTTTGGATTAAAATATCTGCAGGACTGGGGCTGTGAGCCTCCAAACAAAGCAATACGATAATCATGTTTTTTTCTTCTTGGCCGCGTACCTTCCACTAACTCTTCTCTGTCTTCTGGGGAAAGTAGATGGTATCGCATCCCACCTGGAAGGAAGACAAGGACTGTTTGCAGATCCAGTGTAGCTCATACATGGAAAGAGATGTTTCAGAGGCAGGGATGGGGAGAAGAGGGAAGGAAAGGAAAAAGGGGAAGCCAAGTTTCTAAATTATACCTATACAGCTTTCATTTAAAAGGGAAGAACGCAGCATCACGTGAGGATGGGAGCATACATCCAGATTTACACCCTATTTCAAATTGCCTGCTCCATGTGAAAATGGGTCATGGATATGGACTCAGATTATATACCAATTTATTGATCAGCTCATTTAGCCATTATTAACAAGCAACTAAGTTTGTTCATTGAAACAGGCAAAACAAAGAAAGCCCAAAGAAAAGGAACAGCAGAACTGGGAGCCTAGAGGACAACATTAGCATTGAAAATGCTATGAGGAGTCAACCATGCCTGCCTCCTCATCCCCCAATTTCTGATCAGTAAGGAAGGCATCTTTAGCACATTGTACCTCATGAAAACCTCTCACTTTTGTTCTTAGCTTGACAATGCAAAATATTAGTTACAATTGGTATAAGAAAATAAACATTCTCCTAAGAAACATTCCAAAGAAAGCAAAAATATTAGTGACATTACAAGCCACTGAAACCAGACAAACAAAAATCTTTATTTCTTAAACAGTGCACCCACCTCCATGTCACACAAGTAGTATGACTGAGATGTCAATAGTCAAATACTTACCAACATATAGGTTAATTTGAAGCTTGCTTATTGACTGAAGGAAAACAGTTGCATACCATTTTTCAGATCTACACTAAAATTAAGCCAACTAGTTAACTGCTACCGAAATTAAAACATTTCTTTACAGAATATTTATCAACATCTAGGCTTTTCTTTCCTACATGATAAAATTTCACAAATGGCATCTAAAAACAAAAAGGAAACTTGTTCCTTATCTCATCTGCACCTTGAGAATGTAACTGTCTGTAGGCTCAACGATCACTATATATGAGAGATGAAAATAGTGCCACATATGCTTAACATTATTATTTGCTTGGGGAAGCTTTATAATATTCAAAATTTTGACATAAACTATTGTTTATTAACTCACATGCAAACATGAACAATACTGAAGTTACTAGCCTGTTCCAAAAGCACACTAACACTTCCAATTACCCTAACAACTCATTGGCAAAATCTCCATTTTATTACTCATCATGGAGTTCATGTCATTTCCTAGGAGAAAGAAATGAAAGTCACACTCTGTTACATAAACTGAGTTTTATTTACATTATAATCTGCTAATCCAACTTCAGCTAGACACAGAATCCTAGAGGAAGTACAGTCCAATTAATTTAGTGTGAAAATGTTGTCAGATCATTTTAAAGCAAACCATTTTCAGAAATTCCACTGCATTTTTTAATTACACAGAACATCAAAGATTTCAGCTAGAGGTCAACTTACTGATCACCATTTTAAGGCATTCTGGGTTATCCTGAATAAGTGGTTCAGCCTGAACTGTTTTACTTAAGAAGTTCTTTGATATAAGAGGAAATCGGACTTTAGCAAGAATATCAACCATGTACGGCTGGCGATTTGGCTCATCGTACTTCAGCCATCTGACTGCTGCGTCATAAACCTTGAACAAGAGAGAAGGAAAGAAAAGGATAAGGTACATCACCACACAGTAAGACAAATAACTAAATCTTAATGCTCCAAATTGGTTCTTCTGCCTGTTGGAGGTTAACTTATACTAATATTTTAGTATGTGGGGATCCATCACCATCTTCCAAAAAAAACCCACAAAAAACCCCAACCCAAGCCCACCAAAAACCCCAAAACAAACCAACCAAACCCCAAAGACAATGCTCACACATGAAGTAAAACAAATGCATAACCACAGAATAAAGCCCATCTACAAACTTTAAAAAAACCCACATCACTGCTTCTGCTATTTAGCCTTTTTTTCCCCTCCAAATGGCAAGCATGAATCTATAATTCACATGTGCATGGGTAACCCCTGTACCGGGTTAAGACTAACATGCTTCAAGTTCCATGTCACAACTCCAGTAATACTTCACCAGAAATATTGAAGTAGCTTCTACTTGATATAGCCTCCTCAGCTGAAACTGCTTCTGTTACCAAATCATAGTGTTGGGGATCCAAAGATACTGCTATTGTCGTGTCTTAAGGGACCTTATAAGTTAAAAGTTTTTAGCTGCAGACCACCATAAATTTACCAGAGAGCCTCCTCTCCATCTCCTCTTCACAGGAAAAGATAATGGGTTTTCTCAGGGGCCAAGGAGGACAGAACAGGGAAAGTAACCAAGAAATCTGCTCTACTTATGATTGCTCTCTGGGTCAGGAAGGAGCAAAACAAAAATCCAGTATTACCTCTGTCCTAGGAGACTTCAATACTTCTCTCAGACATAGCAAGCTTATCTACTATGCTGCAACTTCAGAGTCAGCACTAACTTCATTACAAGTGATCGCACAGTCAATGCCTGCTCTACTGTAGCTGAAACTGATCACAGTGATCACCAGTGAGATATAACGTGGAAATACATTTAATGGCAGAATTAGAGTTATTCAGAAGGACTGCTAAACCCCCTCAGCTATAACTCTACAAAATGACCCGAGAGCAAGGTAGAGTAAAGAAATAAAAATATTTAAGGCTCAACTCCATCAGCTAAGGAAATTCAACAGAATGACTGAGACAGAAATACTGTATCCCTTCACCAACAGAAATATTACTTGCATACAAAAGGGGAAAAAAAAACAACAGGACAACTAGTAATTAAAGCTACTTTCCTTTTTTTTGCTAAATGTAAATATGCTTTATATTCTAATGTCGGCTTTCTAGTAGCACTCCTGAGAAATAAGATTCCTTTAGTATCATTGACAAACTTCTGCAGTTTCGTACTGCACACTGACCCTTTCCTAAAGGAACTGTAATGCTACCATGATGCCTACACAAAAGTTCTACCACTGCTGCCAAGTTAAAGCATGCCATCCTACCTTACTACCAGAACTTCAAGAATGTAAATTCAAAAGTGTAATTTTGGCTGCAAGCTAAACAATACTTCCAGCTCTGAGAACGTTACCCTGAGACCTGAACTTTTCCCAGCATGTGGCAGCAACATTGAACTGTGACATAAATCATATTTATACTTAAAACTAAACAACTATCATATGCTAGTCACCTGATATTATTCCCCACTCTTAGTAATTCTTATTTTCATTGAAGCTTTTTACTGCAACAGATACATTGAAGAAAATGCATTAATTCTGTGAAAGTTAAACTTCAGTCAGGAAAACATCCGTTTCTATCTAAGTGGATGCACATACGATCTTGAGATGCCTCTGTTGCACTTCAAAGGTACGAGTCAATTCATGATGACATACTCAAACAAACTACCCAGTTCAAGCACCAGAACAACATAGCTAGAAAGACCAGATTTCAGTATGGTTTCAATAGATTTAACTGAGAAGCTACAAGAGGTACCCAGCAGCTACAACCATCCTGCCATCACCTCTTTGGACTGCAGTGCAGACACACTTATACTCTTCCTATTTTCCTGCAGTAGGAAGAACAAGCTGGCAAATGAGCATTCAGGGTTGTGCTATAAGCTGAATCAAGCTTTCCAAATGGGACAGCAGTGAATGTAATTTCTACCACAAGTTACAACTTTTAATTGAGTGAAACTCCAGGCTCCCTTTAGCCACCTGAACTTTTTTGCATGTGCTCCCAAAGTAAGGGCCTTCCATCAATCCATCACTGTCGATGCATCTCCTTCTCAGTGTTTTGTTCATCTTGCTTCCAATTCCTTCAGTTCCCCAAGCTTAATTTGTGTATGCATACGTTTCCCTCAGAAGCAACTCCTCTTTGAAACGGGCTGAGACCATACTCAGGTAGAGCCATGCAGCCACAAAGGTGCAGTTTGCTTGCCAGTTTTAAGTAGTTCACCTTCACCGATAACACATGAACTGCAACCTGGGAGCAGACCATACTCAGGTAGAGCCATGCAGCCACAAAGGTGCAGTTTGCTTGCCAGTTTTAAGTAGTTCACCGATAACACATGAACGCAATCTGGGAGCAACTGCTATAATTCATCAAACTCAATTCAGCCCACATACTATGGAACCAGAAGCCCTATAGCTATCTTGATAAGGGAATCCAATTTGTTTACTCCCTTTATGACTTCTTTCTTTCTAGTTTGCTGAAACAACACATATAACAACCATAATTGAAATGTGGATATTAATTGATGTCTGGGTTTGACCAAGCTAGGATGCACCTTTTATTCTACAATTCAGTAAGCACTATGTGCATCACACACCATAGGAATAAGAGAAGTGCGATACTTTAAACCAGTTCTTGATTAAAAAAATGATAATGAAGTTCAATGCTCTGCTAGTATGAAACCGGGATCTCACCTGGTCTTCTGCCCTCACTGTCAATGTATCTTGGTTCAAGAGATGTGTTACACGCTTAACATCAAGCTGAAGAAACTCATCTGTCTTGTAAACTTCAGTGAAATGCTGATGGATAAAGTCATCTGCAGTGGCTTTCAGTTCTGGACAGTCTAGGCATTCAGCTAACACACTTATACCTGTGAAGTAAAAATTAAGAAAAAAACTTTTCCAAACTTGAACTGCAATTACCTTTAATATATTAAAATAGAAAAAATTTATTATAATTTCAGTGATACTTGCAACATCAGCTTAATATTTATTCCCATGCTTTTTCCCTTTAAAACACATGCTGTCATAACTCATCTGCAACTCAAGACAAACCAAGGTAAGCACAAGGTTCTGATCCCTATCCCTACCAACCAAACTAATTGTAGAGTCAGTAATTGTAGAGTCAGACCTGCAGTACTTGCTGTATTAACTGCACTATTTCCTTGCTGTTTCTTTCCCCATTACAAAGCAGATAACAGTACCTTAACCAGCTCTGAGCTGTATCACAATAATAAAGTCTAACCAGAACAGCTAGAGAAATTGGATCCAGGTTTTATGACCTCCTGGATCTGCTCATGCAGCAGGAGTTACCGATCAAGCCCAATTTCCTCCTATAGAGGGGGAGTAGAAGCAACTCATCAGCCCATGGACTACAACTAGCCTTACCGGCTCTAAGTAGTAAAATGAAAACAAGAAATACAAAACCTGAGTGTATGACCTGTTGACAAAATTTCAAGAGACTCAAAATAAGCCATGGTTTCTTTCAAATACACTTTTTTTTTTTTTAAGGAACTATGGACTTGCCTATGAGTCTGCACAGAACACATTTCCATTTGTAAACTATGTCTTGAGGAAAAACTGATTTAATCTTTATCTCCCTTTTTGCTATAAATTAGCAAAGTATGCAAGTGTTAGAGACCATAATTCATTTTCAGTTTAACAAAAACCAGGAGGAATATGCCTCAAAGCAAGCATAAACAGCATTTTCCTTAGAAGGTAATGTAATTCTTACCACAGTTGTTTCAGAGCCACAGCCATACTGCACCAAAGTGTCATTTGAATAATTATAATTCAGATACTATGTGAAAGATTTTTTTATATTATAAACATCTATAATATGAGTGAGATGTTACCAGGAGAATTACATGACAATTGTCAATAAGAAAGACAATAAACAAGTTTATCTTTAAACTCTGATTAAATAAAGTACACCAAATCTTAAGCATGGAAAACCATTTAGTCCTACTTGTTGGTTACCTTTTCCATAACACTGAGTTCCCGTTAGGGCTACAGAACATATTAAATATCAAACCTGCCCAGATGCCATTCATGGATTTCAGTCAAAATGAAGAGCAACTAAAACCAAAAGTAACCTAAACTTATCCTGTTCATACTTTTAGAAGATATGCTAGTTTTGCAGGAATTACAACTCTGTCAAATTCTGCCTCCAAGTACAGTAACAACAACTGAAAGCTCCACCTTACTAAACAAATGAGGCTCTCAAAAAAGAAGCTGCAGGGCACTGCCAAGCTGGGATGAGACAAAGCACAGCCAGTGGACCCTGATACTGGCGAAGACAACTGCCAGACTGTTTTGACTATGGCAAGGGACAACAGTTCAGATTTAGAGCAAAATTATTTTCACATGCCTGGATTTAGCAAAATATTACTGTCTTTTAGACAATCCTATCTATTCTTTGGAAACAGCAAAGTTAAAATATAAACAGTAAATTAAGTCTGCATTTCACAGAATCACAGAATGTTAGAGATTGGAAGGGACCTCGAAAGATCATCTAGTCCAATCCCCCTGCCGGAGCAGGAACACCTAGATCAGATCACACAGGAATGCATCCAGGCGGGCTTTGAATGTCTCCAGAGAAGGAGACTCCACAACCTCTCTGGGCAGCCTGTTCCAGTGCTCTGTCACCCTCACTGTAAAGAAGTTTTTCCTCATATTCAAGTGGAACCTCCTATGTTCCAGCTTGAACCCATTGCCCCTTGTCCTATCACTAGATGTCACAGAGATTTCTCTTACCAAGACAATTGGAAGCATCAACTTGTTCTTTTAAAAAGTCCACACACATTTTTTTCACAGGTTCAATTTGATATTGGTTTGCTGCATCTAGTAAAGACTGGACATTATTGCTGTTAACTGAGATTCTGCAAAACAGAATGTGTAAAATTAGTATCACTAAGATTACCCACTTTCTTCTAGTAAAAAAAAAGACAACTTACACCAATTCACACAAATGGCAAAATTATTTCCCTGATATTTGCCCAAGAATCTTTCACACACAGTCTAAAGACACAATTTCCCTTCATGATCTTTCCAAATTGCTTTTATTTGCTCTACTTTACTGAGGAAGGGCAAAGAGTAAACAGTCCTAGATTCTGAAGAATAAACCTTTAACACAGGCCCTCTACAGTACCATACTATTACTTTGACTTGTGTGATCAGCTACTACACAAACCAGAACATGAACAGAAGCTTTTTTCTGACAGTCTCCTGCTCCCAAACAGGCACCAGCAAAATCTCTGTAAACTCATTGTCAAGACTGCTCTGGTTGATTTGCCCAGAGTGCACAGCCAGTTTGGCAATGCTTCAAGAGAAGGTACAGAGCCCACAGACAAGGACTTGGGCACCAGGGGAGGCAACCATATGGCCAGGGTGCTGACACTGACTGTCTCTCACCACTGATGGAGAGATCCCTCTCAAAGAAAGGAGAAAGCCTTCCTAAAGAGAGTTAATCCCTTTAGTACAAAGCTGAAAGGCCTGCCTGCCGCCCATCAATCAGAGCAGATCAACAAGTACTGTTCACAATCCTACTCATCTGCACATGCTCTGTTCAAAAAAACAAGCAGGCACATGCACAACTTGAGATAGGAATGAAATGCTGTTCACAGAATGGTTAGCCATCCTGCCAGTCCTGACATGAAGGTATAAATCCTGGAAATGGTTCTGTGCAATAGCTTCCATGGCCATAAAGAGAAACACATCTGATATCAATAAGGGCCTGGATTTCAGAACAATGGGAAATCTCATTTGAAGTAAAAAGCTTGAAGTGCTTTGAATTGCTTTCTGAAGACAACTACCACTGTCTTTAGTCTGCAGGGCTTCCTACTGATTAAACAAAAAGGAAAAGGGAAGGAGGATAGAAGGTCTAGTCACATCAGGCTTTAAACAAAGTAAAGATGCAAACTGATGAATCATAAAAGCATTATTTTAAGATTTTATAATTTACAATTGGCAGGCTTCCTAGAAAAAATGTCAGCTTTATGTAACAAAACTACCTTGCAGTATAAGCAAACTCCACAAGCTGTTCAATAATGTCAGGTTCTGCATCTTTTAACTCCACTTCAAAGGACTTTGATTCAAGCATATTTGCTGCAAAGAGATTAAAAGACAAACTACATCAATAAGCCACTCTCGTTATTGTACATTTTGCAAACAGAAGAAAATAAAGTGATCATACAAAGTGGGAACCTGCTAAAAACTGCACACAGTTGATTGCTGTTTTCCCATGATTACTAATGCAAGTCAGGAAAGAAAGGAGGCAGTGGGACAAACAAGATAACTGTTGTGTGCGCATGCCTGTATTATGTAAATTATGATAAACTGTATTAAATAGAAAAGGTCATAGATAGATGCTGTTGACTGGAGTGCAGACTGTCAACTTAGCATTACCAAAACCAGGAAGCACACACTGCACTGTCAAAAGCTATTTCCACATTCAAGCTGATAACAATAGAGAAAGCTCTGAGCCACATCCAGACACAGCACTGTGAGTTTGCCCACAGATGATTACAAGCCAGAAGACACGGTCATTTGACTTCTACTCAACTTTAATGTGTGCTTTATAGCACAAAAATTTTTACAATTCATGGGTAAGGTATACAAAAAGAAAGGCAGATACTACATAATTGAATTTGTAAAGGTAGCATAAATGCAATAAAATTTACACTTCTGAAAGCCCTTTTATGTGTGGAAGTGCCTAATGGTGGGAAGCAATGGGGCAAACAAATTCTGCCACAGAAGTAAAAACTCCTAATTTTCAGATTAAGGGAGGGAGACCAACTCTAATACAGTGTATGGGCCCCACTTAGTAAGAGAGCTTACATACAAAGTAACACTTGACTTGATCAAAACAGAGGTAAAGGGAAGTTGAGGGGAAGGGTGAACAGATATGAAGGAAGACACAAAATGAGGAAACCTTCACTTATACTTATCCCTGAAATTAATCACTTTTATAAAATAAAACAGTTTGTCATCCACAAGTCTAAGAGGATATAATCACAAAAGCTTATAATCAATCAATTTTGAAAAGACTTACTAGTAAACATCAAGTTAAAAAAATGACTGGCTGAAGCAAGCACAACACGGTGAGCTGGGATCTTTCTTTCTTGAACCATAAGAATGACATCACACAGTGTTTTCTAAATCAGAGGAAATACAGACAAAAAAGCAAGGATCAGCATTTTTGAAAAATCTTTCAAAAATATTTAAAAACAGCTTATGAAAATTCATTGCTTTTCTTAATCCACACAACTCAAATGTATTCTACAGTAAGATTTTCTGAAAGTCGAAGTTAAATTAATTAACCTGGAGAACTAGCACAGTTCAGTTTACACATGAACTTGTACCTTAAGGATGGTCACTAATAACGTATGAACTCTGATTAAAGTGTTTTCCTGTGGCATTTACATCAGCCTCCAATAACAGGTGGTCCTCTGCAGCCTCTAGCAGGTGCTGCATTTACATTACACCCTTTTCATCCATCAGTGTCTCTCTTCTCTACTCAGCTCTTGATTTTCAAAAAACTCATAGGAACCTCATATCTGAAGACTGCCATCATATTTCCCAGAGTGAAAGTGATGAACAAGTTCAAAGCATTCAATGGAACATTTCTAAGAAAACGTATCCCAAAAATACCACTTCTATGGAAGGGTTTAACTAGTCACACCTGACGACCAACTAAGTTCTAGACAAAAAAAATTATTTCTCATTTGTTTGCTATTGGTACGTAAGCAGTTAGTTTCTCCCCTACACGTGAATGCACTAGGAGAAAGTGACAATACTTACAGAAGCTGTCAGGAGACATGAGAGAGAGTGGGGTAAAAACATAATTTGAATAGATTCTCAAATGGTATCCCTTCTAAGAAGATATTGACTAAAATAAATGCACACCACGCTACAGTTTATTATAACATCCTTATTAAGAAAGAAAACTAAGCACCACCGCTTCCTAAAAACAAGAATTAATTTTCAACTACTACCTTAAGTTCATGGAGCTACTTTCAGTAACACCTACCTACACCCATCCCAATACTAACCTCAGAAGAGAGCATTTCTACTGTGGGGAGTATATATTTGTTTAGAACAGTGTGAGAATGTTTTCCACACACAGACAACATTACCTAGGGTACACCTAACAACACTGATAATCCATATGCAAAGTCCCTTCAAATAAACCTATTTTTTAGTTTCTTGAAAAAAGTACACTTAGAAGCATGTGTCGGACAAAATATAAATAATAACATTTAAAAATAAATGTTTTAATTACAAGTTAGATGGGGGAGGGATGTGACATATAGCTTCCTTTGTACATCTGTAGCTTAAAACCATTTAGGATTGAAACAAGAAAAAAACGAGACCATTCAAGAAAAGTTTGAGGAAAGCCTTAAACTGTAATTCTAGCACATCTGGTTCAAAACAAACATTGGAAACTGGTAGTACAAGATACTGTAAAATCCTGTGACAAAGCTCTGCTAAGACTTGCAACTGTTGCTTGAACTCCACACTGCATTTCTAAGATAAGTGACTCAGCTCAGCACTTGAAGCACCTTGAATATTCTAAGGCTTCTCTAGGTACAGGAAGAAATATTTGTCAACCAAAACAGACCATCATTTTAATTTCTTTCCATGGGATGTTTCTGGGTGTGACTGTTCTATTTCAAATAATGGTCTTCTGATGATTTCTGTATTTCTTTCTAGAAGGACCCATTGGTGTCACTAAGGCACTTCAATGAGGCAACAGATGACTGGCATTACATCAACCAAGGACACACCCAAGCGTGAACATGCATTAGGGTGCTTCATCTTCCAAGCAGGTTCAGCAACACCTTGCAACTCTGTCCCAGCTTCATTCTCAATTACTTCACTCTTGGCTGACCTCCACTCAGCTGCAAAGTTGCAACAAAGGATTTATGCACATGCTGTCAAATAGCTCTGTAAAACCCAGAAAGACATGGGCCATGGCACGTTCAAGATGAACAAGTCCTCCATGCACTAAACATACTTGCCCCCAACGTCCTACCAGTACTAAGTGCAGGTATGTCCATAATTTACTCTAAACTCCCATACTCATCGAGGCTGCCTCTAGATCCCAGCACACACAAAAAAGCAGCCTCTTTAAAATTAGCTGTACTTTCCAATCAACCTATTTTCCTACAGCATTAAACCAATGCATTTAAACAGCTAGGGCTCCACATGCATGTTGCTATTTCCATCACAGGAAATTTCTAATACATATCAAATTTAGGTTTGACAAGCACAGTATAGCCCTTGACTTATCAAAACACAAGAAAGATTTGCCTACAAATCCTCTTAAACTTTAGCACAACTGACCAGCTGAACTAGTATATTTTTTTCCTCCAGCTCCTGCTGACTTCCTAATTTTATCCTATATAATCACACCTCCCCCTCCAGTAACAGTTAACTTCCTCTTACAAACAATTCCTAAAAGCCTGAGTGTCACAAACTATACAGGAATTTCTGGAGCTGTCGGCACCAGGTGGGATAGGCAAAGCCACCATCTGAGGTCAGATTAGAAGTCTCCAGGAAATTCTGATAGCAGGCAAAATTCAGAGTTGCACCTCCCCAGGCATAACAGATTTTGAAATACGAATCAGAAGTACATGCTGATTTCACAGCACTTAATTCTGATCCTCTCTCTCCCTGGTCAGAGTAACTCGTAACTAGATGAGAGCTGGCACTCTACTGAAAGATGTGGTACTTACACAGAACAACTTGGTGCCACATACTGGAGTAGTGGCACAGTAAAGCACTGTGATTTTGCTGTGCTAGGGGCTGTACATACATCTAAGAGAGGGCAATATTTCCTCTACTTACAAAGCATAACAGTATCTGGCATGCCCTTGTCAACAGTGACAGAGGTATAAGCTAAACAGTGAAGAGCTCAGTTATGAACTCAGCTACACCTTGGAATATGTTTACCCAATTAGAACAGAAACAAAGCCTACATCAAAAAACATAGATGACAGTCTCAACTCCTCCACCTAAAGTAATTAAAACCAATTTGGTTTTTCATGCCCATTTCAGATGGGATAGAGCTAATTTTCTTCTTAGTATCTAGAACAGTGCTGTGTCTCAGATTCAATATAAGATTTGGTATAAGAACATTAATAATATACTGATGTATATTATATTATATCTTTGTTGCTAAGAAATCAAGGACTTTTCAACTTCCCATGTTTTTCTAGTATGCAGGTGCACAAGAAACTATGAGGAAGCATAGCCAGAGCAATGGATCCAAACTAGCCAAAGGGATATTCCATATCATACAATGAGCTTAGTTGCATGAAATGGCTTATGCAGACAACACAACTGACTGTGTACTAGTAAGAGAAGAACATGGCTGAAGTGCTGGAGAAAAGCAGAATCAGCACTCTGATATCACTTGCTAGGCCAGGACCCAGACTGCTGACGAACACATCACTAAAAGCTGAACTGAGCCTTTGGCAAGACTAACACTGGGAGACAATCAGTTAAACTCCAGAAGATACAACTTATGACAGTGCCAACTATGAAGCCCCCAATTGTTCTTGGAACAACTGGCTTAAGAGTCAGCTTTAATTCTAGCTCCACATCGTTGTTTCTAAATGAACCATAGTGCCACAATCAAGCCAGATCTGAGGAGGAGGAGAAAGGTTTCTTCAGTCGCAAGGAGTTACACAGATCAGGCTTCTGCTCTTGTACCAGAAGTCTGAGCTTTTCAAAGGGGAAAAAAATAATTTTAAAAAAAAAATCAGCATTTATTTCAGTTTGGACAGCTCAACTGAAATCCACTTGTATAATTATACTTTTGGTTACCACTCTTGCTCTAGTAGTAAACAGAAGAGTGACCTTTAATAATCATTAGACTACTGAGCTAGGAATCTGATCTGTCAAAAAGGTCAGAATTTGTAAAGATGAGGCCACCAGCACCCTACAGTGCCATTGGCTTCTTCGTGAGATAGCCAGACGTACTCTTTAT